TTGTTGGCCGACCTGTATTCATATATTTCATGGCAAATTGCAATTTCCACTTTAATCTCCGCCGCTGTGTGTGTATGTGTGTGTGTGCGTGTGGCTCAGACACAAGCCATGTTGCGCCACCTCTTCTTGTCAACGGCCGCAGCTTATAATTTCGTTTATAATTACATTGACAGCAAGAGCAAAACTCAAGCTGCAGCTGCAGCTGCCACAGCCACTGCCACTGACGCTGACGCTGACGCTGCTGCCGTTGCCATTGCTAGCATTGCCATGTTCCGACTGCAAAGGTAGCAAAAAGTGCCCACCTGCAGGCGACACTTACCTAATTAGCTCAAAGCACAGTGCCAGCAACATCCATTTCAATGTAGATGTGCGTCTCTTTGCCAGTGTGCGTGTGTGTGTGTGTGTGTGTCTGTGGGTCTCTGTGCATCATGCCCCATCATGGTGCACCTAGCAATTCATAATTTTCAGCTGTCAGCCCCACCAGGGCTTATTTGGGCCAGCTGAAACATTCACTAGCCGTAGCCCTGCCAACTGTCGCACATTGCGTTGCATGGGGACAAATGTGCAAATTTTCCTGCTCAACTGAAATCAAAAATTGTCAGCTCTAGCCAGATAGCAGACTAGGAATATAATCCGTGCTTGCTCCCAATACTAAGCCTTTCCTCTGACTTCTTTCTTAGTAGGAGCATCTTCGATTATTCGCAAACAAAGCTGCTTGGATTCGAGTATAATATTCTTCAAGTTTTATTATTATTATCAGCATTTGGCAATAATATTTTTATTAGTTCGAAAAGGATAACCAGTATAACCGAATCTTAAGTTCAGTCTTATTTATGACTGTCTTTCTTAATAAAGGCCTCCACATATAGAGGGATCATTCCAGGTCAAGCCTGGCTTAATTTAATACCCTATCTTCCGATACTTAGTTTTAATGATTGTGGCACCAATGTGCAGCATTCATTGAAATTACGAATACATTTCTGGATTTAAATGTACGAAGGCTTAGATATATGTCACTCGATGCAGCTCGCTTAATTAGAAAAACAAAAGCCCGTTGTGACTTTTGTGCACGGATATTTGCGTGGCTAATAATTGAAATTCATTTTCAATATAAATTCATTTGGTTCAGGAGAATGAATTTATTTTTGCCCATTGCAGCTACAAGGGATGCAATTTTATGCAGCAACAATGGGCCTAACAAAATTGGTGTGCTGCAAAGTAATTAACTTTTATTTTAGGAATTGAATATGCTTTGCAACTAATTTAAATACACCAAAATATTCATGAGGTGCTTTGCTAAAAAACATAAGAATTTAAAGGATTTAATTACGAGTTAATTACTAATGGTTTGCATAGTGAGATTATTGAGTGTAAGTTTATTTCATGATGAACTTAAATTGTTAAATTGTTTTCTGAGCTAAACATTTAATCAGGCGTTAAATTCTATTCATCCACAACCAAATGCTAAATACTTTTATATTTATCATTACTACATTATGTAAGGGACGGATTGGCTTGCCACTATTTTGTAATTTAATTAAAGAGTTTGGTGYTTATGGCACTATTTTATATATACTTTTCTCATTTACGAGCTTTATTATTTTCTTATTTCCTTTTCTCTTTTGGTAAAAGGTTGTAAAATTTACCCGCCCCAAAGATTAGTCAGGATAATGTTTTATTTTTGCTGACGAGCATAAAAAAATAAATAAATAAAAGTACAAGGTCAACGTCTAATGAATCTGTTTAAGTCCTTACATATCCCTTTTTGGTGGTATCCACATTAAGCGTCGTAAAGGGCATTAGCAACTGATTCTAGACGATTCAGATGGACTTTAATTTTCAAGGGAGAAACTCTTGAAATTTATTATGCATTAGGTTTAAATAATTTATTGTTAAAAATTATTATATACAACTATGAAAATGGTATATATTTTAAAATTATTTTGTTGTGTCTATTATTTTTTTCGTTCATCAAAGTTGATAAATTTTCATAGAATTTTCTAGAAAAAAACTTTAGTCTCTAGTCATTTTGAGACATTCTAATATTTGTTAGGTATACTATTTCTTTTTTTTTTTTCTTCTCTTTCCGATGAGCATGATCATTCATAGTTTAATGCGAGAAGTGGTGTTTGCTTCCGTCCAAAAAGCTTCAGACTGCAATCTCTGGATGTCTACCCCGCAAATGGCACTTGGGACGCAATTCAAAGAACTCATAGCTCAGTCTGGGTGTTGTCCACTTGATTGTGATATGCTTTCAATTGCCATTTGAATGTGGTGCTGCAATATTGGGGCTACGCCTTCAACGGCTTCAATATTAAATGGGTGACAGACAGTCCGGCCGTTTGTTTTATGAAAATTCCAGTTCGTGCTCGTTGCTCACATCATATCAGGCTCTGGCCATTTGCGGGCATTTGTGCATTTGGCAAACCTTTTTCTAATAACGCATGCCAATTTATCGACTTGGGGATGCATAGCCACAAAAAAAAAGGAAAAAAAGAAGAAAAGTAATAAGCAAATAGTTGGCATAATTTGGATAAGGACGGCACATATCCATAGCTTGAAGCAGCAGTAGGAGCAGCAGCAGCAGCAGGAGCAGGAGCGGAGTGACAAACGTTAGGCGATTTTCAACTTCCTTGCCAGGGGACATTGACCACTGACGTAATCAAATCGACAATCAGTAAGAGATATGTGTGCGCATCAACGTGCCCGAAGGGCTGTTCAAGCACATGAGTGGGCGTGGCACATTTTGGTAACGGCAGCAGCAGCGGCAACAACCTCAAATATTTACGAAGCCAAAAAAGGACGGCGTGCGGCTGCTTTGCCCGGAGCATATTTGGCCTGTCCCGAGCAGTGCGTAAATTGCCATTTTCGAACACATTTCAATAAATTTTTGGGTTTTTCTTTTCATTTTTCTTTTTTTCTTTTTTTTTTCAAAGTAACTTTTACAAACTGGCAAAATGCAGGAGACCTTCCACGAATTTTATTGCTTTTGCAGCTTGTCAGCTGCCCTGTCGATGCGTCATCCGTCTGTCGATTGTTGACTATCGTCTATCGCCCAGTCGTCTCCAGTCACTCGCAAACAACGCATACGCCTCGTGCAACACGAGTGTCAAGCGACATCTCCAATTCATTTTTTTCCCACAACTCTTCTGTTATTGCGCTGTCATTTTACTGTAACGCGACACTGACAAGCAAATAGGCAGACAGATAGGCCGACAGACAGCCGGCCAGTGGCTGCCTTTGATCTTGTGCTGCTTGGAGAGAAATGCAAAGCATTTTACAGCTCCCAGCATTGTTTTCTGTGTAAATTGCGCACATAAACGAAACGCACGTGCATGAAATGGCATCACATTCTTGCTCCTTTAGCGCACACAAACATGCACACGTTCGCACCCACACACACACACACACACACACACGCAGACATTCCCACGCAGATGCCAGGGTCACAGCTGTCAAAGAATGATGAAACTTTACCATATCTATTTGACTTTCTTGGAAAGCCCTTTCGGTTAATAGTTATTATAATTAAAAGTGTTTCATTAGTGAAAAATCTAGATCAGATTGTATAAAATAATGGAGAGAAAGTTGAGTATATTTTAATATAAAAACTAATTTTTTTGATAGAACTAATTTGCATTTTATTCTTACCCTGAATTAATTAAAAGAGAGGATGTCTGGCTATAGTCAGAGAGAACCAATAGCAAAGTGGACGTCCACCTTTTGGTTTATCTATCTGTTCTGTTATCTATAAGTAGAACACACCGAGGTCTTATGAGCTATGGATCTCAATATGGATCTTTTAATAATAATTTAAAATTGATCCTTCCATCCTTCCTTATCTGAGCATATGTTGCTCATGGTAGGAATCTAGGCTTAAAAACATATTAAAATTAATAGTAATTAAAAAATTCTATCTAGCGAATTATTGTACTCAAATAAGCTCAAGCCCGAGCTCAGGGTATTTTTTAGTCAATCTAGAAAAGTCAGCTTTTAATTATTTATGCATATTAATATCTTAAAGGATTTTATTTGAAATTAGTTTTTCTTTTTTTACATTGATTATTTCAGCTTGATCTAGCACTAACATATATATACATATATATATGTATATATTCGTATTTCTGCACAGTAAATAGAGCTGTTATTTTTAGAAAGAATTACAGCATCATTTCCAGTGCTGTCTCTGCCATCTGCTCAGCCCGTCGTCCTCAGCGAATGGCTGTCTTCATTGTTGGGACTCGAGTCTGTCTGCCAACATTATATTTTATAATCATTTTACAGCCGGTGTGATATTTAGAATGCTACCATAAGTTGTTTCATAGCGTGTTGGCGAAAGTTTTTCAGCAGCCATGTTGCCTACCCTGGCAAACATTTCAGCTGCTCTCCGCAATGTTGTTGTTGATGTTGGTGCTGCTGTTGGTGTTGCTGTTGGTGTTTTAGTTGCTGGCGGGCAAAAAGTTGATGCCACCACATGGTAGCTGTTTTGGCAGTTTTATAGTGCTGGCCATAAAGTACTTAAAAGTTTCATTTTACGCCTATTTTGTAGCCAGTGCCCATTATTAGAGCCAGCGAGAGTGACCGGTGGCAAGTGCCAGTAGGTGGGTGGAGCAGCAAGGGCAGCAACAGCAGCAGGGCCGCAACCTGTGCGGCTGCTAGCAAAACCCAATTTGCTAACAATTTAACAATCATTGCTTTTGGGGCTTGAGCTAGAAGTCAAGTTGTAGCATCATGCGCCCATCAGCCCTTTTAATTGCCTTCTTAAACGAAACAAATTTAAGAGGCCTGTGTCTTCAGCTCGAGTGCTGATCGCCTTTTGCCATCTACCGCCAATTAATGCCACAAGTTGCCAGTGGAAAACCCGATTTCTTATTCGCCATATTCAAAGTTGCCCAAGAGCAATTGCTCGGTAATTGCCTAGAGCTCGACCCGAAAACTTCAGCTTGTCAATAACCCAAGCAACTCAGCAAATGCTGCGGCTCCTTTTGTTGCTGTTGTTGCTGCTCTTGCTGCTATTGCTGCTGCTGCTGTTGCTGCTCCTGCTGCTGTTGCTTCTATTGCTGCTGCTGTTGCTGCTGATGTTGCTGCTGCTGTTGTTGTTGCTGCTGCTTTTGCTGCTGCTGTTGTTGCTATGGCTGCTGTTGCTGCTATTGCTGCTGCTGCTGTTGCTGCTCCTGCTGCTGTTGCTGCTCCTGCTGCTGTTGCTGTTGCTGCTGTTGCTGCTATTGCTTTAATTGCTGCTGCTGTTGCTGCTGTTGCTGTTGTTGCTGCTGATGTTGCTGCTGCTATTGCTGCTGTTGTTGTTGTTGCTAGTGCTGCTGTTGCTGCTCCTGTTGGTATTGCTGCTGCTATTGTTGCTGCTGTTGCTCCTGCTGCTGTTGCTGCTATTGCTTCTATTGCTGCTGCTGTTGGTGCTGCTGCTGTTGCTGCTGCTGTTGTTGCTGCTGCTGGTGCTGTTGTTGCTGCTGCTATTGCTGCTGATGTTGCTGCTGTTGCTGCTGCTGCTGTTACTCTGGTTGCTGCTGCTATTGCTGCTGATGTTGCTTCTGTTGCTGCTGCTGCTGTTGCTGCTGCTGTTGCTGCTGCTGTTGCTGCTGCTGCTGTTGCTGTTTTTGCTCCTGCTGCTGTTGCTGTTGTTGCTGCTAGTGCTGCTGTTGCTGCTCTTGCTGCTGTTGCTGCTTCTGTTGTTGCTGATGCTGCTGTTACTCTGGTTGCTGCTGCTATTGCTGCTGATGTTGCTTCTGTTGCTGCTGCTGCTGTTGCTGCTGCTGTTGCTGCTGCTGTTGCTGCTGCTGCTGTTGCTGTTTTTGCTCCTGCTGCTGTTGCTGTTGTTGCTGCTAGTGCTGCTGTTGCTGCTCTTGCTGCTGTTGCTGCTTCTGTTGTTGCTGATGCTGCTGTTACTCTGGTTGCTGCTGCTATTGCTGCTGATGTTGCTTCTGTTGCTGCTGCTGCTGTTGCTGCTGCTGTTGCTGCTGCTGCTGTTGCTGTTGTTGCTCCTGCTGCTGTTGCTGTTGTTGCTGCTAGTGCTGCTGTTGCTGCTCTTGCTGCTGTTGCTGCTTCTGTTGTTGCTTCTACTGTTATTGCTGCTTCTGCTGTCACTTCTGCTGCTGCTACTGCTTTCACTGCTGCTGCTGTTTCTCTTGCTCTTGTTCCTCCTTCTGCTACTACATACTACTGCTCATTGCTCCTGCTCATGCTGCTGCTGCTGCTCTTTGCTGTTAACTTGCCGTGTGGTTTCATATTCTTCTTTCTTCAACACAAATGTTTTCTTAGCATTTCAAGCCATTGAACCAAATGTTGAAGAACTTTCGTTTTTTCTTACCCTGTACAAATTGTTAGTAAATTGGCGAAAATTTCATCTATCGTTGGTTGTTTGAATAATAGTTTGAAAATACTTTTCCAATTTCAATTCGATTTCGATCAATTTTCTGAAATTAAATTCGCGCAAGTCATGAGCCTCAACTCTTGCCAGTCATGCCATGGCAGCTGCTTGGATCTATGTGAGATATTATATATTGAATCCATTTATCTTTTTAGTGTCTTTGCCGCTTTTCTAGAAGGTATTCTGCAGTCGAACATTTTTATTAAATTTTGCCTTTCCATGCGGCTGCCACTGGTGTTGCTAATGGGTTCTATGTCAGCGCAAAGAGTTCAGACTTTCACGTGTAACTATCGAAAGGGGTATATTAGTTTTGTGGGAGTGTATGTAACGAAGGCTTTCCCGTTTTTATTTCTGTTTATTTTTTAAGAGCTAGTTCAGCACATATTCAATATACATATTAATTTATTGGTTTTGGTTTTTCTCTGTCATTTCACTCATAGAGTAGAGCTAAGGCCTTAGGCTGTATAATTTGCATGTTTATTAATTTTTATATTACTCTGTAGGTTTCAATTGCAATTATAAATAATTCATCTAGATTTGAAATGTACGGCCATTTGGCCTACGGCAAAGTGTTTAATAATTTCATGTTCAGTTATTTAATTTTATTTTTATGATTACTTTTTTCTCATTTGTAATTTGCATTTAGCGTTAATTTGAATGTATTAATTACATGTGCGTGTGATTAGATGACATGATTGATGTTTCGTTTAGAACTCACACTCACTCTATATACATATATATGTTTATCGTTTTCAAAGTATGGGCATTTTTTCAGGGTATTTCTCGTTTGATACTTGCGCCTTTGGCCCTGGTACTTGTTATTTTTGAAGTACTCGAGTGTTGAGAAAATGATGAGTTCGTCTGCGCTTCAATTTGCAATGTAAATTCTTCACGTTCCATTTGAGAAATGGATGAATTGCTGGCCACAATGATAATTGGTCAGGGGAGAGTGAGCCCAGAGCAAGGCTAGCAAATGCGACAGTCGAGGAAACTCGCCTGATGGACAGACCTTATGAACTCTGAAGTATTATAAAAATATATGTATGTACATAAAATACTGTGAAATTGCGATATGGCATAACTTGCAATCACAAAATGTAATTATTGGCCAACAAAGCTAGATCCAATAATAGCAACAATTCGCTTGATTGTTGACTGCTTTTCAGTTGTGTAAGCGTTATATGAACAAGCCTTGATGCCTTTGGCCATTGCTGATTAATCCATAATTATTGATTAAGACCGCACTGATTCCTGCCAGAGCTTAATTGGATTCTACAGCAAATTAGGTCGTTACGAAGTTTTCTATATTGTGTTGTCACCATTCCGAGAAATTAACTTGGCAACCTTTGCTGCAGCCAAGTGCAGCGCAGCAGAGCCGAAGACTGATTACTCTACAAAATACTCGAATCGGAATTGAATTTAATTATGCTGTCTAAATTAGTTCACAAATATTTTTGAGAGTTTTTTAAAGCTGCTCTGAGCAGAGTTCTACCCCAAATAGATCAAAGCTGAGAACATTCCATGTCGAATTCGCAGTGAGAGGTCAGAGGTAGCGAATGATGACGAATCCTTTGGCTTTTGGCAGCAATCAAAAGCGTAGAGAAGCGAGTCGAATGCAAAGCAAACACGAAACGCATAAAATACAAATGAAATGCACTTGAGCTTATGCCTCGTCGCTGTTTTGTTTCCACTTGACGATGGTCGTGTTGCCGTTGATGTGTTTTGTGTGTTTGCCCGGCCATTCGGGATTCCCAGAGCAGTTGTTCCAGTTTGTAATTGTGCGCGACTTGCGCTGATTTGCCCAACTCAGCCAAGCTTGAGTAATGGGTGGTGTCGCTGGCATTCCCCGGATTGCTGACTGGCCCCTGCGAACGTTCGTGCACATGCTGCAGCCAGAGCTGGCCCCCCTCTCTCTCCATCTCCCAGGAGGCTGGCGATTGCATGTCTATGCATGTAAATGTTCGACTAGCACTCGAGTCGGTTGGATCACTGCTTGCCTGGCTCTGGCCGGAGCGGGTGCTTTTCATTCCCTCCTTTTGTTGGCCCAAGTGTCCGTTGTGGCTGAAAGGTGAGCACGGCTCTGGTACAATGCTCTGTCTTGCACCCACCACCACCAGCACCACCGACAGCACTGACAGCACTGACAGCACTGACAGCACCGACAGCAGACCCAGCCTCAAGCCAATTCCCTGCTGAGGTAACGCTAGATGAAAAATAAACAGTATGCGCTGTGTCCATACCGTAGTCCTCTGCACTTCTTGTTCCTTGCTCTGCTTGCGCTTGCCATTCAAGATGATTTACAGCGCTTTGTACTTGTGCCTGGGCAATGTGGTTGTCCGGCATGGTTACTGGCTCTTGGTATTGGTGCTGGTGGTGGTGCAGGCTTTGGTGCTGGGGCAAGCGCATCCTTTGCTCATTTGCCTTCTGCATTTGTCGCATAATCGTCCATTTTGAAAGCATGCGCCATCAGTTCAACATGCATTGGACCGCCTCACCTTGAGCGACGAGGCTCGCATTATTTAAGCTCCTTTTTATTTGCTGTCTGGCGTTGGGTCTTTGTGCCTTGAAAAACTTTGCCATAAAAACGCAACGCTACAATCACTCAAAAGGAGAAACAAGAGAACAGCAGAGAATAAAAAAGAAAACATAATAAAAAAAGAGAAAAAAAAAAAAAATAATAATAAAGCACTTGAAACAAACGTTTTCAGTAAATTTAACATTAGCTGCTTTGTGAAAATAATCAGCGAAAGGTTCACTGCGCGCCGGCATAAAACGGGGAGCCGCCACATCGTAGGCTTCGTTGGGGCTGGGGTTCGTCTGCAGCGAGAAGGGGTCAGTGTAAAAAGTTTTCTTGTTCGGCTCCTGCGACTGCAAGCAGCCAACATTCTTTGTTGCTCGCTATTATTATACTGACTTGCCATGCGAGCGTGAATGTGTGCGTGTGTGTGTGTGTGCCTGTGTGTGTGCGTTGGTATATTTACAAACTCTGTAGCATACTTTTCAGCTTGCGTGGCTGTTGTGTGTTAAGGTTAAGAGTTGGCGAGTCCTTTCGGCTGCATAGAACTTCCACTTCCAGGCAGCGACGCTGTCAACTTTGCTGTACATTTCTGATTTATGTGGCGGCACTGCTCAACCGAACCGAGAGCATGGGAGCGAGAGAGGGAGTGAGCGGGAGGGCAAGGCAAGCTTCTTTTGCATAGCATACTTTGAGCCGTGCCTGAATTTATATTTATTTTTATTTTCTCATTTTCTTATGCTAGCCGTCAAAGTGGGCAAATTATTTCAATTTCTATTATCGCATTTTGTGATTGCCGAGCTGCGGTTTTTTTTTTATTTCACAAATTTTTCCTGGAAAATTCTCAGGCATTTTACAGTTTATTAGCCTAGTTTAAGTTTTGTTTCTCTCTCACTATTGCTTAACTTGGCTACAAGTAATTAAGGCATTAATCCGTTGGCCATCTTAAAGCTTGAGCCGCACAGTTTTCATCAAAAAGTTCAATTTGCTAAAAGCCATCGAGCTGGCACAAAATTCGACTCTGATAATGGAAAAGCAAATTGGTGGCAAACTTTAAGGTCGGAAAATAAAATTTGTGCAGCTGCTGCGGCGCAATGTCCAAGAATTATGCCAAATGCAGCGACAGCACAAATTTTGTTGCTCATTTGAACTCAACTCGAAGAACTCGCATAATTGTGCCGCCCCCAATTGCATTGAACAGATTGAATTTTCCGCTCGATTGCAGTTGAAGCTGAAATTTGCAGTTTATTGTAGGGAAAGCATCAGGATATAAAAAGAAAATATTCTTTTTGTGAACTATCGAGTGATTTTTCCATTTCGGGATTTAGTTTATCTTGTTGAAATACGTGCTTTAATGAAATATTTTGCAAGATATGAAAGTGAAGTGCTTGAAAGTTACATAAATAATATTTTAATGATTTTAATTATTGTTTTGCATATGTATAATCAAGTCATCTAATATTCCAAAACATCATAAAGCTACTCTCTTCTCTATTGTTTTGGAAATAAACATTTTTAAAATTAAGTAATAGTATTAAATAATGGAAATTAATCTATAAACTATCAAAGAGTGTGAATCAAATTCCATATATTAATATAAAAATTTTGTAAGTTGAGGCTAATAAAAATAATATATTATCTAATTAACGAGTCATTTTATATTCCAAAATATTCTAGCCTTTTAATATATGCATTTCTATTAAGTTTTTATTAAAAGCGCAGAAATAAATTTAAAAATGGCTTAAATTCTCAGTAATTTGAACAGCTTAATAATTTAATGTTAATAAAATATGTATCGTGTTAATATGATTTTTATTCTTTTTTTTTTTTTTTTTTAATTACTTTACTGACCTAAAAAGCTGTCTGACCTGAAAAGTAAACATAAACGAATTATTTATATAAATAATGTTGAATCAAAATGTAATTAAATGCAATAAAAATTGCTTGGTTAAGCTGCACTCTTTATTGCCTGAATGTTGGGCATATAAAAACTCTTTTGTTGTCTCTTCCGGCCTGCTTCGACTTTGGGTTTGGTACGCGATTGGATAAACTTGCCGGCGCTCTGTCAGTGTCAGGCATTTTGCAAGGCTGTTGCTATATTTGTAGCTAAACAGATCCCGCTGCGAGCAGAGCTGAACAAGCTGGCCACAAAGTGTTTATATTGTAACAGCTTACTGCACAATTGACTTACTTTAGCACACACACACACACACACACACACACATATACATACAGACATCCGGCTAGCTGCTGCCATTTGGCATTTCCTGCCCTGGCTTTTATGTCAGCCCTTCCGCATGCAGCGTTTGACGGAGTTTTATGCGTTTCGCTCTAATTTTTTAAGCCAATAGTTGTCCAATCAATTTCAAGTGTTCGCCACCAACTTGAATCTACATAAAAATGCCAGTAAGGCGATCTCAACATACACTCTGTCTCTCTCTCTTTTTCTTCTCTCCCTCTCTCTCTCTCTCTCTTGTTCACACATACGCGCACATTGCAGTGGCTGGGCAGCTATAAAATTCAGTGTTGACGCAAGGCGATGACGAGGTCGCCAATGGACGATGGCGGCGTCTGGCGAATTGCAAATGCATAAATTTAACTCTACAGCAGTAACTGCAGCAGCAGCAGCCGCAGCAGCCTGAGCAACAACTGCAGTAAAGGAAATGCAGGAAAAAGAGAAATGCTTGCCAAAAAAAAAAAAAAAACAGCTGCAAAAACTGAGAAAAAACTGCAGACAAACTGAGCATAACCACCATTCAAATATGAGTGCTATGTATGTGTATGTGTGTGTCTTGTGTGTGTGTGTGTGTGTGTGCTCTTAAAATAAGTGTCCCGCAGCCGTAAGGCAAAGGACTGTATGCATTGAGTAAACAATATTTAAAGGCTATTTAAGAAGTGCTAGAAAATTAAATGCATTAATCTATTATGTGAAACGAAGAGCAGCTAGCTGATACGAATATGTGTATGTGTATTGGTTAGCTGTTGATTTGAGCATAGGCATTACACATATAATCTGTTATTCTCAAATAGACTACTCTTTGTGCTAGCAACTAAGTAATGCTCCCCATTTTATGACACTCAAGTTTTCCCTTGATTGCAGAGCAACTGCAAGTCAACATCAGCCAGCCGAGATGTCGGACAAGTGTGGCACAGATGGGATCTTGTGTAATATTTAATGTGTGTAAGAATGTTCGTATCTAGTCGTATATACATAAATACGCTTTTTGGCAATGAAAAGGCAGCAGCTCTGATTCGGCTGCTGTCTTGCTGGAGCGCCTGGCGTTGGAAAAATTGAAAAACAAATTGCTGACATGGAAAACAATGCATCAAATATTGAATGGACGCTGCCATTCAGTTAGCTATGCCGGGGCCTGTTTTACAATTAATGACAAAAAAGAAAAGCAACTAGGAAAATTATTTTTGTTTTTGTTTTTTTTTTTCAAGCCAACAGCTGCCAACACGTATCAGCGGCGAGCAGGGTGGCAGGCGGAGCAGTAGCTGGAGTGAAAGGCTTCCAAAAATATGGGTCATGTTTGCCATGGTGTAATGTGTAGAATGATTGCAACTTTAAAAAGCAAACAAACAACAAAAAAAGAGAGAGAGAGAGAGAGAAAAAAAAAAAGAAAACTGCAGCTAGCGAAGCGCCGCCCACAAGGCGGGCGAACGAACCAGCAAGGCAAATAGTAAACAGTAAACTGTCTGCCAGAAGGAGGCAGCAGCACACTGGGCCGGGCCCAGTCCCAGGCTCAGCATGAGGCACTGGCACTGGCAAGCAAACAAACAAACGGAACGAAACGAAACGAAGCGTCCATACAAATGCCCAAGTCTGAAACTAGGCCTGTCGTCGCTGGGACGCATGCATCATGCATGCAGCCAGCAGTTGCCGTTGAGTGGCAGCTGCCGGTCGACGTTGCAGTGGCAGTTGCAGTTGTAGTCAGCATCAAGTTGAGGTATCGAGTTGAGCTGCATTGGTGTCTGCTTCATTGCAGCGCGGCACTTGCAGTCGCTGTTACTGCGGCTCAGCTTCAGCCTTTTTATGTAGCTTTGACTGCTCTTGTTGACGACGTTGTTGTTGCTGCAGCTACAATTGCCGCTGATTGCGAAAGTATTTGCGAGCAAATGTGAGCCGACTCGACAGGGCTGCAAGCTATGCCTCATATCCAGCTGGATGGCAATACAGATGCACAAAGTATGTGCTGTGAGCACTTGTGCTTCGTGTGAGCATCTGGATCATGTTACAGATAAACTCAATGTGCAGCTTATGCTTGTACTCTCTCTCTGCGAGTGGGTGAGTTCACGCTTACAAATTGAGCTGGCTAAGTAAATTCTTGAACTTCATGTTTCGGCTAGCTCTGTAAACTAATGTGAGACGACGCAGCCCTGGTTGGCAGCTGCTCTTTCGATTGCTGATTATAAAAGTATCTATAGGAAAAGGGGCGCAAGCAGATTATCGCTGGGTAGCAACTACCTGGCGCTGTGAATGTGGATGTGGATGTGGCTGTGTCAGCTACACCCACTATCCACTCAAGCAGTCAACACTCCGGGACTGCGTCTGAAGTGCCAAGCAGTAAGCAGCAAGAGGCATGAGGCAGGTAGCAGGGGGCGTGCGGCATGCAGCAATAAAAGCTGTACGAGTAAGCCGCTTTCATGGCTCTTACGGAGTGGGCGGGTGATGCTGTCGGGTGGATGCTGTCGCTTGAATACGGTTGATTTAGTTAATAGGAAACAAATACACATGCAGTGTTACAGTTACAGGCAGCTGCTGCAGAGCTCTGCTCAAGGACTTACCTGCTAAGACCAAAGCGGGCGACTGCGCGAGTTTCGCTCCAGTGAGGCAGCCCGAGGAGCATGACAGGGGGCAGGGCGTGGCGTAGTCTGTTGGGCGGCGTAATTAAATTCTGGCATTTAAACGTTTCATAAGTGCCTGGCAAATGAATTGCAAATGATTTGTAAAGATGCCAGCAAAAAGTTTACAATTACAAAGAGGACAAAGCCACTCGCTAACTGAATGACTAACTGAGCGACTGAATGACTGAATGACTGAGCGATTGCTCCTTGGCTGCTAGCTCAAAGCGTTTGTCTGATTAAAATTGCGAGAGG